CACCAACGTACTCAATTTTTGGTCTAGGTAACCCAATTAACCGTTTTGAATGTAAATTCATTTTGGCTTGTTTGACTCCCCCAGTTCAATCGACGACCCACTTGACCTACTTGCACTAGTGAACTGGTGGGTTTGAAAGAAGCAATGCTAAAGTATTATGACGGTGAAACGATTTGAACCTTTGACCTTCAGGTAGTGTTATAACATTTAATCCACCAAACCATTCATGCACTTGTTGCTAATTATGCAAAAAATAATTCTATTATATCTTTTTTTTAGTATTTTCTTTTCGTTTATTATATATATAGATTTTCTTTCCTTTTAACTTATTTTTTGTTTTACAAATATATTATAAAATTATTTATGACACCACGGTTCAATTTCGATTCACCCATGGTTGAATTAGTGTCCTGTCCACCCAGTTACTTTTCTGGTTTGCTCACCGATCCGGTCTTCAAAACATTGCTACTGAGCAAAGAATAGAAAGAATTACAAAAGAGAAAATCGTTTCAAATCGCTTTTCTCCGCTGGCACAGTGGAAGAGCTCAGTACATCAAAAGAGGGCTTGTCCCCACTATCCCCCGCATCATCACCATCATCCTCATTATCATTATCCTCCTCATTATCGACTGAAGGAGTCTCCTCCCTAACAGTCACATGATGAAAGGTTGATGAACTACGAGGGTCTACATGCACAGACTGTCATGATTAGAGCATCAGAATGATAAAAAAGGAGGTAAACAAATAGTATAATGGAAATAAGAGTGTAAGAACATCACATGTGGGAAAAGTAGAATAGAGATATGCGGAATAGCACAAGAGATAACAATTCAAAGAGATAATAGTAAAAGGGGTAAAAGAGAGAATCAAAAGAAAACCTCATCAGGGACATTTGGAAGAACCTCCATCGTCGTACCTCAAACTCGGCCCCGACTTCAGCCTCGACCTCAACCAAGCGCAAGAATAGGGGAAAAGTTATGGGAAAGCTAAAAGTAAGCAAAATAATCCTCATCTAAACCTGAGGGGTCAAAATGCTCCATTAAAGCATCAATATTGTCAGAACTATCACAAAGGGGTAATGTTGGAGGTGAAATACCCTTGTCAGCCATGGAAGTGAATGAGTGAGAGAAAATCAAAAAGTGAAGAAAAATTAAAACCCTAGGTCATCCAGGAGGGAAAACCAAGAGTGAAACGGTGAAAACTTGAAAGAGAGGTTGAAACCCTAAGGAAACCTGTAAAAAATTGATGAAAAACCTGAGAAAAACCAAACTCGATGAAATCGAATTTCATTCAATTCAAAATGTAGAGGGCAGTAAGGGTTTTCAAGGAAAAAATGGTGAGGGTTGAGGAAAGAGAAAATCTAGAGAGAGAAAGAGAGAGAGAGAGAGAGAGAGAGAGAGATGTTTTAGAATGGTACAAGTGAAGAAAATGGTAGAAATGATGTGTTTAAGTGATTCAAAAGAGCGAAAATACAAAATTGTTCCCAATATCACCACGGTCTTACGACCGAGTAAAAATGGGTCGGTCAGATGAAATATACACAGTTGGAGAAGAATTATATGACCAAGTTAGAAAAAGGCACGGTGAGTGTAACAACCTCGAACTGTGATTAGTCACTAAAACATGATTAAGAATGCCTAATATGTAATTAAGAGGAAATTCTAAATTAATTGCATGTGTATTGTGTTATTTGTGCTTATATTTGTTTGATGTAGAAATATTTGTTCGTATTTCTGATTCGGTATGCTAATTGAAGGCCTTGTCGACACCCGATCACGAAATTGGCTCGGTTTATGTGTTATTTAGAATTTTTAGGATTTTATGGTAGGTTTAATTGAAATCTGATTCGAAACCAAATAATTAGAATAAAATAATTGTAATTGACTAGTCTTAAGCTAAGCCTCGTTTGTGACGTAGTAGTTTTAGCCTAAAAGTCAAAAAGTTACTAAAAAAATTAAAAAGCCTATAACCTATACCAAAAAGTCAAAGATTCTCTTTTCTCTCTACTTTTTGCACATCTTTTCGTAAAAAACTTCACCACTGAAATCTCTCAAGATTTCAGTGGTGAGGAGGCCCAAACAAGGTGGTCCCAGAGCTCACCAAAATAGCACAAAAATGGGGCCAAACAAGCCCTAAGAGGAGTCAAACAACCTTAAACAACAAAGTGACCTGAAACATCTATTTAAAGCACTAAAAAAAAAGACTTTTATTAGTTATATACAAAGTCTGAAAACAGTTGCAAGATAGGTTAAAAAGCTATGTAAAAATGGGGGGAAAAGGGGTAAGATTGTTACCCTTGTAGACCTCCTTCACAAACAATGCTCCAGCTGGTTCTTTGAGCTCAAAACCAATCAAGAACTTCAAGAACAGCTCCCTAGCACCTCAGTAGCCAAGGTAATGTGTAATGGTGGGTGTTTGTGTGCAATAATAAGACCAAAAAACACAATTATACACAAAAGAGAGTGAGATATAGAGATGGGGGATATGCAAACCCTAGCCCTAATATCAGAGCCCTTTGGAAAAATGTTGTAACCCTAATGGAGGGAGAAGAGGCCCCCTCTTATAGAGATTCACTCTTGCAAAGCTTCCAAAACAAGCTAAGCAAGAGTGAAATGTATGGAGGGGAGCAAAGTGTATGCCAGCTAGCACAGTTGGCATAAAAATATCTGCGAAAGTAGATGTACAGTGGTCGGCCAGCAAAAAATGCTATTTGACCAAAAAAGATGGTTGGTCGACCACAAAGAGTGTCGGTCGGCCAAACATTTGTCCGATGGCAACAAACCAATAGCGGGTAGCCTCAAGCCATGGCCCGTGAGGTGTGGGGATGGGCAACAAGCCATTTCCTGCCCTCCAAAGTAAAAACACAAGTGTTTGGTGCAAAACCAGACACAAAACAGTCGAGTTGAGAGATCCTGAGGCAAGGCGCGTAGCCGAGACCTCCGTGAACTCAAAACGAACACAAACAAGGATGATCACCGAGTGTTCAAACGGTGACGTCCAAGTCTTGAGGACGGTCAAAAATGGGGTGTCTACACTCCGTCACGCCCGCCATGGATGTGCTTGAGTATTCCCATGGACGGCACCAATTATGCAGAAGTGATTTTTGGGGATACTCTTCTGGTCCTGGGGGGTGCTTTTGATCCTCTTCTAGTCATCTAAAAAAGGATGAACGCTCCGGTCGGGGGTGCCAGAATTAGCACTCCAACGGGCAAGTCAATCTCACACTCAAGATTGCTTGTATTCTAAGTTAAGCACAATAATTTTCACATACCTCCTCCTGGCTGATGTCTCTTCTATTTATATCCTTTTCTCTTTGAGCCTCGGGATTAGATCCATTTCCAACCTCCTAATCGGCACATTTTATAATAGACCGATCTTCACTCGGCTCCTTGCTTAATCGGCTATTTGGCCGAGTAGGGTTGGATTTGAATATTCGAGCCGATTGCCAAGTGCTTCGAATCTCGACTCTCCCAGATTCGACTATCCGGAATCACTACGACTTCCAATACTCGGCCCCCACAATTGTCCCCCAAACGCTCCACTAACGACAGTTGGTTGGAGTGTTTGGCTTCGAACTCAAAGAGTCAGAGCCGAAATTTGGCGGCTGACCGTATTCCAACGCAAATGTCTGTGCTCACGCTTCTCGATTATCATTTCAACTTCCCGCCTCTTTGTACACTTCTATTTATTGTGATTTAAAATTTTGACGTCTTTTCAAATGCATACACGTTTTTAGACGCCCGTCGCTAGACTGCCTTCCGAGCTACCTCTGCAACTTCCTACTCTTCTCTATCTCCTTCGTCTCTTGTAAGTTCTCTCTTTTTCTACTTTGAATCTCTTTCCTTGCTTTACTTTTTGTCTTAGCATAATCCTATTGGCTAGGGGGAATGGCGAAACATTTGAAAGATCTCCTCTCACCGAATCGAATTTCTAGCTTCCGACGCCATTTTTCCATTCCTGACGACGTCCGTCTGTCATTTGTGGCAGATGGAACCCTCGATATGGAGAGGGCTGATGAAACCACGATCGTCTTCCCTCTTCTATCAATCACGGAGGGTGGGATCTGTTTCCCCTTTCACCCACTCCTTAGGGCCGTGCTTTGCCATTGGGGGTTAATCCTTTCCTAACCCAACGTCAACTTCTTTAGGATCGTGATGGGGATTATCGCTCTAAACCGCTGCCTTGGGCTTAACCTTGGCATTCTGGCTATTCAGCATTGCTACGCCTTGGCCAAGTCTTCAGGTCGCCATGGGCGTTATTTCCTTAGGGCCAAAGACACCTACCATCAACTAGTGACTATGCTTTCCAGCTCTGGGAAGCGAGTCGATGATGTTGTGGTCGTCGTCCAAGGAAACTGGGATTCGGCGAAGGTGAGGATCGGCTTGATCGTATTCCTAGATGGAGGGGTGAACTAGGTGGCCGAATATCTGCTTTTATTTATTTACTTGTTATATTTATAAAACTTCATTTTCGGGACCTCATGGTTTTGCTTTTGCAGGAAACGATTTCAAGAAAGTCTTGACCTCGACCGACGACGTCGTCCTTTCAGAAATGAAGGCTGGGCTCAAGTATTTCGGCCGACCGAGTCTTCAGAAGCAGGGGAGGGCAGCCCATGTTCTGCTCCGCTATGAGCCGACTTATACGACCTTTTCGACAGCAGAAAATATCCCAATTTCGAAGGGTGAGGAGTTTCTTATCACCCATATCTTGACTGATTTCAGAAATTTGAGACAAGTCGGTTGCGAGGGATCAAATTCGGAGCGACCGGAAGTAGCTGAGGCCGACGAATCAGAAGAATTCGAAATTGAGGTTGACGAGGCTTTGAAGTTACATTTGAAGAAGCCGGCCTCAATTCGGCTGATCCTCCGTCCACTTCGGGTCGAGAGGACCGTTCACTTGACGATATTTTTCACGGTCTGGAGGATTTTCCCGGCGCGCACCCAGAAGATATGGCTGGGTTGAGCCTCACTAAACTTGCCAAGAAGGCGAACGTGGAAAGGATGGCCGCGCGGAGAAGGGCGGAGGAAATTCGGGCTGCCGAATCTCAGTCCCAGTCCTCCTTTCCTGTTATTGAGGGGACGGCAAAAAATGGAAGGACAGAGGCGGAACCTTTTGCGCAGGCAAGTGTAGAAGCTGGGCAAAAGGTGGAGAAGCGCCCTGCCGATGTCGAGACCGGCTCAGAAGAAGATCGCGCCGACAAACAACCTCATTTGGAGGAGTCGGATGTGATTGTACCCTTTGTTGTTCAGCCCAAGATAAAAAATACGCCGATCTCCTCCGATGCTTCGGTGATCAGAGATCCAGCGGTTGCACTCAGCTTGGCGACGTCCGTTTCACTGCCAGCTGACAAGGCGACTTTTCGGGCAGAGCCTGATCTGGTTGTAATTGCGTTGGCCGCGCAATCGCCTCTTTTGGTATATATCTGGACTTTGTCTTTTTTCTTTATGCAAATATTATTTTGTTCTTAACTTCCTGTCTTACAGGCCGTCGGGAGGATAGTCGACATAGGCCGTCGTTATCACGAAGCTGTCGAGCTAATTGGCCGTTTAGAAGCGGAGGTTGAAGGCCAAAGGAGTAAGGCGCAGACGGAGGGCGCCCGTGCTGAGGCCGAGATGGAGAGAGCCCGCAATGCTGAAGAATTGAGTGCGGTGGCCGAGAAGAGGGCGGATGCGAACGACAACGCGCTTAAATTGGCCCAGGAGGCGGTCTCTAAATTGAAGGCTGAGTTGGAAGAGATGAAGGTGGCGAAGCAGACAGCCAACCTGAAGGTTTCCAGCGCATTCGATGCTGGGAAAAAATCTGCTTATGATGAATATGTAGACGAAGTCCCCAAATCTGAGAATCGGGAATTTAAACACGGCTGACTCAAAGCCCTTACTGCTGCTGATATTACATTGGCTACGCCAATTCCATATGAGCAAGTGGATGTTGAGCCACTGGAGTCTAACTCCAATGGCTAATTTGGGCGGCTTTTGTTTTTGTTTTAGGATTTGCGTGTAATTTTCAGCTTTTTACAACTTTTTGTTTAGTAATTTTCATATGTAAAGTGGTTACAATTTGTGCCCAATTTACTTGATGAAAATTCATTTTGTACTTTGCTATTACGAATGAATGGAATTGTTTGGTTGCTGTTTTGCATAAAAACGTTTTGTATACTTGCCAACTAGATGATTAGGCCGTTTAAAAAGTTAAGTCGTTTAAAAAGCCAAAAAATCAGTGCATGAAGTGGGTGTGGCACATGTCAATTGGCATGAGGTCAAGGTGTTCGGCCGGTTAGATTAATAAATCTGCCCTTGCCCCAGCCAGTGCATGAACTCCAAGGCATTCATCTATAATTGTCGTTTAGATAACTAGGCCGTTTTAAAAGCCAAAAAATCAGTGCATGAAGTGGCTGTGGCACATATCAATCAGCATGAGGCCAAGGTATTCATCTATAATTGCCGTTTAGATAACTAGGCCGTTTTAAAAGCCAAAAATCAGTGCATGAAGTGGCTGTGGCACATATCAATCGGCACGGGGCCAAGGTGTTCGGCTGGTTAGATTAATAAATCTGCCCTTACCCCAGCCAGTGCATGAACTCCAAGGCATTCATCTATAATTTCCGTTTAGATAATTAGGCCATTTTAAAAGCCAAAAATCACTGCATGAAGTGGCTGTGGCACATATCAATCGGCACGGGGCCAAGGTGTTCGGCCGGTTAGATTAATAAATCTGTCCTTGCCCCGGCCAGTGCATGAACTCCAAGGCATTCATCTATAATTGCCGTTTAGATAACTAGGCCGTTATAAAAGCCAAAAATCAGTATCCGTCGTTTGGAGAGTAGCGTTAATGAAATTGCCTCGGGGTCGCTGCAAGCATTATAAATAAATGAGATGGGCTCTTCGCGGTAGTAACTTCGCTTACTGTGTTTAGACTTAATTCAAGACTTGTCGCGAATGTCGAATAGAGTTTTCTTCAACAGCAGGGGTGAAGGTCGAACTTTGGCTGAGCTTGATACTGCAATGAATCGCGGCAGAGAAACCACCCGTGCAGGAAGTGGGGCGTCCAAAGAACGGGAAAAACGTCAACCTCCAAGTCGTCGAAGCAGATCACCCCGAAAGGAGAAACAGCAACGGGAAAGCTCTCCGCGACCGTTGAGTTTTCCAGTTTTCGTGGGGAATAAACTGATGACGGAGGTGGACTCCATTAACAAGGACCCAGGGGTGGCGGTCGAGTTTGCTCGATAGATTTTTCCACCGAAGGTCCAGCAGTCGATGGTTGGACTACAGGATTTCGACGTATTTTGAGAGGGCATCCATGGGGCGGTGAAGGGGCTGTACACCGCCTACGAAGTCGACATGCGCCTGCGCGCCGCGTGGGGGGAGATAGAGTGGATGGACCAATGGATCCGCAGTTCGGAGGCTCAGGCGGAGAAAGCCGAACGCGAGCTTAGGGAGCTTAGGACGGTGAAATCCGCCGAGCTGCATACGGCTGGTCAATCTAACCCGATCGTGGACGAGAGGGTGACCCAACGGCTATTGAGTCATGCCATAGCCGATCGAGATACGGCAAGCATGTTTGCCATAGAAAATGCAAGGTCCAAGGGTTATGAGCAAGGCTTTCATGCGGGCTGGAAGGTTGAGATCGATGAAACGAAAGAGAAACTTGCAGAGGAGGTTTGCCGCTGCGAGAATTGGGGATTTAAGCACGGTTGGATCACAGCACTTCAGGCTGCAGAGGCCCTTCGAGCAAAAGGTGTCGATTCGGCGTTGCTGCGGTATTGACGTAATCATTTGCCCTTTTCCGCCTTTGAAGTCGAAAAGAGCGACGATGCGGGAGACGCCATATAAAAATAGTCGTTGTAATGTTCAAGCACGGATTACGTCGAAAATTATGTAATTACTTGTCGAATGAATAAAATGCTCCGTTTTTAATATTCCTGTTGCGTTATAATTTTTTCTTTGGTGCACTTATATTTGCATATTTTGTACTTTATTGGAGAAACATTGTTCGAATGAATGGTTTTTTGCTAGCTCGTCATAATGGAGCACTTTTCTTGAAGTATTTATTCAGTTCCAGGTTCAGGTTTCGAAACCGGGTGATATCCACGAAGGGCGCTCCGAATCCGGAGACTTTGATTGGCCGATCGTGATATCCACGAAGGGCGCTCCGAATCCGGAGGCTTTATCGGCCCAACAACGTCATGCGCTAAAGGGGCTCCGAATCCGGAGACTTTCATAGGGAAATTGTGACATCCACGAAGGGCGCTCCGAATCTGGAGGCTTTATCGGCCCAACGACGTCATGCGCCGAAGGGGCTCCGAATCCGGAGACTTTCATTGGCCAATTGTGATATCCACGAAGAGCGCTCCGAAACCGGAGACTTTCATTGGCCAATCGTGATATCCATGAAGGGCGCTCCGAATCCGGAGGCTTTATCGGCCCGACGACGTCATGCGCTGAAGGGGCTCCGAATTCGAAGACTTTCATTGGCCAATCGTGACATCCACGAAGGGCACTCCGAATCCGAAGGCTTTATCGGCCCAACGACGTCATGCGCCAAAGGGGCTCCGAATCCGGAGACTTTTATTGGCCAATTGTGACATCCACGATGGGCGCTCCGAATCCGGAGGCTTTATCGGCCCAACGATGTCATGCGCCGAAGGGGCTCTGAATTCAGAGACTTTTATTGGGCAATCGTGATATCTACAAAGGGCGCTCCGAATCAGGAGGCTTTATCAGGACGCTTTATCAGAAGACTTTATCAAAACACTTTTCAACAAGAATCCTCGTATTACAAAAGTGGAATTTGTATATGGCGAATCGTTTTAAAACTGAAATCTTTCCCTGATAAAACTTTCGCAAGTGAGTCGAGTTCCAAGGCCATGGAAGACTCCTTCCTGACATATCTTTCAGCCGATACGCCCCTGCTCCTACGATAGAATCTATTTGATAGGGGCCATCCCAATTTGGACCAAGTTTTCCATCAGCCGACTTTCTGTCAGCTGGAAGCACCTTCTTTAGGACCAATTCTCCTAGTGTGTAGCGGCAGAGCTGAACTCGTTGATTGTACGACTTTACCAGCTGTTGCTGGTACCATGCCATGGACGCAAGGGCACGGTCTTTTCGTTCCTCGATTAGAATCAAATCCAAAGCCAGCATCATGTCATTTCGGCCCGTATCAAAAACTTGCGACTTGAGAGTCGGGTGGCCGATCTCCACGGGTAAGATCGCCTGGTTTCCAAAGCATAACACAAATGGTGTTTCTCCAGTTGATCTCCTCGGCGTTGTCCGATGAGCCCACAACACACTCAGTAATTCCTCGACCCATTTGCCTTTGGCTTTCTCCAGCCTTTTCTTGATGCCGTCCAAGATGGATTTGTTAGAGGCTTTGGCTTGACCATTTCTTTGGGGATAAGCCGGCGTAGAAAAATACGACCGGATACCATACTTGTCGCACAGTTCTCTGTAAACACCACAATCAAACTGGGTGCCGTTGTTTGAGATAAGGGCTCTTGGAATGCTGAATCGTGTTATGATGTTCCTCCACACAAAGCGCTTAACATCAACATCTCGAATGTGTGTTAATGCCTCCACTTCGACCCATTTTGTGAAGTAATTTGTTGCGACGATCAAGTATCGCTTGTTCGCTGGGGCCCTCGGCAGTGGTCCTACGATATCAAGCCCCCACTGGGCGAACGGCCAGGGACTGGTGATAGAGTTTAGCTCTTCTGTAGGCAAATGGGTTAATGGGAGAACTTCTGGCACTGTTCACACTTTTTCGCATAACACTCGGTGTCCGCTCTCATTGTCGGCCAATAATACCCCTGCGTTATAGCTCGATGGGCTAAAGAGTGCCTGCCAGAATGGGCACCACAACTGCCTTCATGTATCTCAGTTAGAAGCTCCTCGACTTTGTCCGGGTGCACGCATTCCAAATATGGACCAGAGAGGGATTTTTTATAGAGCCTTCCTTGCGGATCCAAGTAGTATCACATGGCTTTGTTTCGCAGTTTGTGCGCTTCTTTCTTGTCCTCTGGGAGTTGTTCAGAAGACAGGAATGCAGCAATGAGATCCATCCAACTCGGGGCAGATTCTATAATGTTGATCTGGACTTCCTCCGAAGGGCCAATGCTTGGCTCCAGGATGAAACCTACTTCGATGGTCCGTTTAATCTCTGAGTTGATGGCGGAGGCTAGGCAAGCCAAGGCATCTGCATGGGTGTTCTGATCACGTGTTATCTGGTTCAACTCATGATGGTCAAATTTTGCCAACAAGGAATTGGCCGTTTTCATATAGGCCGCCATACGGTCGTTCCTTGCTGCGTACACCCCCTTTAGCTGATTGATCACCAGTTTTGAATCACAAAACACAAGCAAACGCCGAGCACCAAGAACGTGCGCGTTCCGCAAACTGACTAGAAGGGCTTCGTATTCGGCTTCGTTATTTGATGCTTCGTAGCCGAGCTTGACGGCCTGCTCAATTATTACGCCGTTGGGAGACATGATCACAACTTTGGCCCCACTGCCCTGCTGATTGGACGATCCATCGCAATACAACTGCCAAATATCCCCAACGTAAATCCTCCAGTTCTGTTTCGGTCGAATTTCATCAATCTTGAAGTCGGCCAGGCCCCCAGTAAATTCAGCAACAAAGTTGGCAAGCACCTGCCCCTTGATTGAGGTTCTGGGTAGAAACTGAATATCGTACTGGCCGAGTTCTAGAGTCCACTTTGATATACGTCTGGAAGCTTCCGCACTGCGTAATACTGACCGGAGGGGATAGTCTGTTAGCACCCCAATGCTATGCCCCTGGAAGTAATGCATCAGCTTCCTTGCCACCATGACTAGGGCTAGGATGAGCTTTTCCAGCGGAAGGTAGCGTGT